CCAGTACAACCACAGACTGATCTGATACTCTGATCCGTTACCCAGCGCTGTTACGGACACACCATGATCCAATACCTACAGCTTCCAACTATACCCACGCAGCGGGTGCTGAGGCATGGACTCGTCCAAAGACATGTCTTCCTTTGGCAACATAATGTTGAGTTTCATGCTTCTAAAAGTGTATGAAAGTGTGGTCACATAAGCGTGTGACCTCGGCCGCTTCGCACAAAGCGCGCCAAACATCGCGCCCCAAGTTGCTCCTACAGCAGAGGTTGCGCGTTCAAGCTGGTTTTTGTGCCTGTTGTCAGCTGCCTCTTCTGCCGCTCGATCTGGTGTTGTAGCTGCCTGACCTTGCTGTGCGAAAACATGAGCCGCAAAACACTTAGACTTCGGGGTTCGGGAATGAAGGTCTCACTTATACATCCCCAGTATGCAAAGTCTACATCATGATTTGACACTTGACAGTTCAGCTGGACAGTATCCAGCCGTCATGTCATGGTCGCCGTCGAATCGTGGCATTGCACTCTCCGGCCTGCGACTCCATGACCGCATTGTACTCCTCCAGCGTGGCCTTCTCAGAAGCCCCATGCAACACTGTAACCAGCAACGCTGCCAAACAGCCACAGCATGCGGCCACCCCTTTGTCCTTAGCGGAGTTTCAAATCCAAGCTGAGAGATCGGGCATTTTCTCGCTGAAGCCGCTGAATCTCCTGAAGCAAACAGGCATCTCTCTCTCTCTCTCTCTCTCCACACTCTCCACATGGCGTGACACTCGCTACGTCACAAAGCTCCCGCTGGAGAGTGTTAGGTCAGCTTGCAGTGTTTTAGTCCTTGCCATGCGTTTTGAGAGCTCCACAGTGCCTCCGCATCAGGATTGCCATCAGTGTAGCCGGCGAGAAACTGTGTGACCAAGTTTGGATTGTCCTGGCCGCATACCGATGCGATGACATCAAACTACTCAGCTTCACTCTCGCTGATGATGGAAAGCTATATGTACATCACGTACTCATAAGTCATCATAAGTCCATGCTCTTGCTCAAAATGTGCTGCTGGGTTACAGATCAAACAAGCCCGGCTGGCAATTCGCATCTCGTGCTTGACAGAGTGCTTGTACCTCGCATCCGGTGCTCGAGGCTGGGGAGTGGCACCATGATTTGGCCACACTTAGGCGTGCTTCCGGCCCCTGGCAACTTGCACTTCGGTCATGCATTTGCAATGAGCGCCTGGCATCTTGACTAGGCACTGAACAGTCTCGGTTTCTACCTGGGCTGCTACACCGCAGCATGCAGAGACTTCGCTGATCCACCGGGTGCAAATTTCATCTGAGCACGGCGCCATATACTTCCTGAAGTGCTTCAGGTCATCGAGGCGTTGCCTGGCTCTGGCTGGCCATTCGCCAGCGGTCAACGTGCCAAAAGCACCAGTTCGTTTAGCCACCTCTCAGCTACGTCCTCGCTGGAGATCATGGGGGGAAGACGTTCCTGCAAACTGCAAGCTAATAGTCTCGCAAAGCTTGGCACAGGTGGCAACTGCGGCCTGATCGGCGTCCCATGTCGACGACATCTTTGCTGGTCAGTGTCTTCTCGATGCGATGAGCTTCTCACTGGAGTGGTTCTGCTAGCAACTATCCAATCTGGCTGTCTCTACTGTAAATTGCATGATTTCTCATCCTAAGCTTAAACTGCAAGCAATCATGATGAGCCAGGACAGAAAAAGTGCAGAAGACAGTCCACTATCAGGCAAACGTTAAACAAGTGGATACTGCATCGAGACGCACAGCAGGATGGCCAATCGTAGTCGACACACACACACACACACACACACGCAGTCCTAAAGGTCAGCAAGCTTCAGACCTTTTGTCGACATGACAGGCTGCTAGGTAACACAACTATAGGGTGTGCACTTAAAGCCGCGCTCTTGTGTCGGGCACAACGTTCGCAAACTTGCCGAACCTGTCATTGTCATGTAGGCAGCGTTTGCATAAACATTATCGCGCAGCGTGTATATGCCTGTGTACAACTTCAACTACAAACATCTAACCACTATAACGTTCTGCTGGCTAACTGCATACGCAAAACATGCCGGTCCCACTTGTCAATGTTCTTGTTGATGCCGCTGACCATTTCGCCCATGACTGATGACTGGCGCTTGAGCTCGTCCTTAGCAATGGTGTTCAGGTGCACGATGTCTGGACCATCCGCCAGTCGTACATGTCTGACGTGGTGGTACAGATCAGTCAACCGTGAATCTTGACTCACACCATGTGCCCCGTGAATCTGGATGGCCTCATCAATGATCTTCTGGCACATTCTTGGAGCATCTACTTTGGTCATTGCGATGAAAGACTTGGCGGCCTTGAACCCATGATCGTCCGCTTGGACAGCTGCGAGATAGCACAGTAGCCTTGACTTGGTGATCTCCATTCGCGCTTCGGCAATGGATTGTCGGATGGTTGCGTGGTTTGCAAGCACCTTGCCGAACGCCACGCGCTTATGCACTCGGTGGATGATAGCATCCAACGCCTGCTCCGCAGTGCCGATTGTGCGCATGCAGTGATGAATGCGGCCTGGGCCCAGACGACCCTGCGCAATCTCAAAGCCACGGCCCTCTCCCAAAAGCATGTTGCCAACGGGCACGCGGACATTGTCAAAAACAATCTCGGCATGGTCATGGATGTGCCCAAACAATCCTAAAGGACGGATGATGTGCACGCCGTTAGCATCGCGAGGCACCAAGATCATGGAGTGCTGCTTGTGCGCTGACTCACCCCCGGAGCGCCCCAGGAAAATGAATACTTTACATTCCGGTCTACATGCACCGCTGATGTACCACTTGTGTCCGTTGATGACATACTCATCGCCATCTCTGTGAATCGTAGCGCTGATGTTTGTCGCATCGCTACTGGCAACGCCCGGCTCGGTCATGGCATATGCACTCCGAATTTGGCCCGCAAGCAAAGGCTCCAGCCACTTCTTCTTTTGTTCCGGCGTGCCATACTTCTCCAGGACTTCCATGTTGCCAGTGTCTGGTGCTGTGCAGTTCATCGCCACATTGCAAAGCCCAAAAGCTCCCAATATCTCGCAGATGGGTGCATATTCCAGTACTCCAAGATTCCCCACCTCAGGCAGGAAGAAGTTGTACAAGCCTCGTTCCTGTGCCTTTTTCCTCAAGTCTGTTGCGATTGGTGGCGAGGCTGCCCAAACAGGATGATGGGTGTAGGCAGGGTCTTCGTGAGGCGAGGCAGGCTTGCGATCTTTCAACTTTGCCACCTCTTGCCTGTATTGCTGACCATACACAGGCATTGCTGGAAGAATGTCCTCCTTGATGAAATCAATGATGCGCTTCCTGACCTCAAAGAAGTTGGGGCTGAGCCTGTCCTTGAAGGGCTCCAGTTCTGGTGGAATACGCTCGGGGTCCAGAATGTAGCCCATGGGATGCGAACCTGAAGCCATGATGAACAGGCTGGACCTCCAGCGCTCGAGTTCTGGCTCGTTGCGTGCACTGCCGCCCCCTTGATCCCTGCAGCAGCTGACACGGGACGCCACATGCTGCCATCTCTGCTCCCTCTCGCGGAATCTTTTGGTCTAGCTGACCACCATCATCATCTATCTGCAGTGGCAAACGCCAAGACGCCTACTGACACGAAAACTGAACATTTAAGTTCTCCCCGTGGCTACAATGTGTACTGTAGAGATAGCTTGGATAGCTCAAGGTTCACTTTTGTTGGCTTCACATGCGCGAGCTCAGAGTCCACTGTGCGGTGAGCTCCGCTCGGGGCTGATCTCAGCCGTGAGACGCACTAAATACATCTTTTTCTGCATGTCTGCAATTGGAGGCATCCCCAACTCAGTGTTTTAAGACTTCGATCTTACAGCTTGCGACGCAAAGCTCTGTGACCCGAGTTCCGGGAAGCCAGCTCCTGATGATGCCTGCGGGCCCGGACAGGCTCAAGGCCTGCAAATCTTGGAGTTTAGGTGACTGTTTGTTGTTGCTCAGCTTCCTCCGGGTCCGATGGCTGACAGACGAGACGTTATTAGTTCATCTTGACATTCAGCTTCGCAGCTGTACCATGCAATTGACACCTGAGGATCCCTGCAGTCTCTTACAAAATCTTACATCTCACCTCACAAATGAGATTGGATCCTCAGGGAATAAAGCCTGTGAAGGGCCCCTTCAGTCGCACATTGGGTCTGGAGACCGAGCGATGCAGCTGCATGTGGCGGCAAAAACAAGTTTTGACATAGCTTGACCAAACGCATCTGTGACTTGGAGACGCAACCGCAACTCACTCAACCTGGCCCAAGGCGAATCTGCAGTCAATATGCTCTTTGCTCCCCTGGGCTGCTCGTAATGAGGACAAGTCCTGAGCCCACGTCGACCACGCCCACGCAACACAACTTTTCCACGACATGAAGGCAGCCATGAGGCTCCGACGATCTGGGAATGCTGTACAAATCAGATTGAGCCTTGTTCTCATGGGGCATTTTGCACCTCGTGAAGGTCAGAATGTGTTCGGCTTGACAAACCATTTCCCAACTGACCTCTGCAACACCTGCACAACGTTGCGTCTGTCAGCAGCGTCGCGCACAAACAGTTTCGGCTTGAGACGTGCCTCAGAAGCCCAGCATGACTGACTTGAAGATCTGGGGACTCTCGTGAATCTTGTTCAGCAGTGCCTCATCGCTTTTACGGCGGTAACTTCTGAAATGTGCAACCGGTATGGCACATATGACACACACGGATTTCACAGAGACATAGCGCCTCGAACACTGGCCCGAGCCTCTCATCGTCATGGTAGGCCTCACGTCAGACTCCCCTCATGCCGTTCCAGCAGTACTCACTCATTGAGAGCGTAGCTTGTAGCCTGTCCTAAGCCATGGACACGGAGTATCCGAACTTGACTGACGCAGTTCTCTGCGTTGATGTTTCCCAGAGCCTGCCATACAAGCTAACGATACTTGCAATGGTAGGAGTTTTGTATGCTGTCAACGTCCGGGCTGACTTGCAAACACAGGCTGACTGAGAGTGAGAGATCTCCAGCCAGCTGCTGTATGAGACAAAAACGAGCCACAGATGGCGACAGGTGCCGCGTACTCGACAAGACCGGGAATGTCGTACTTGTGACCGAGCACGACCTGAGAAGCTTGCGTCCGGAAGGTCTCCGACGCAAGGCGCATGATTTATTCCATGGACCCATATCGAGATGCGTCTGAGCAGTTGAATTGAATTAGCTTCACCTTTTCGCCTCGCAAGACTGTATGAGGACCGCATGAGGACCTTGTCTCCATCAAGCTTGCAGTTTAGGCTATACCACATCGCCATGATCATTCTCGTTCCGCTTGTCACGGCCTCCACCAAGCTTGGCCCAAGTGTTGTGGAGCGAACATGAACTAAAGACAGGCCCTTCGAATATTCTACTCTAAACCAATTCTATATTGCAGATGTTGTTCTCATGTTGCGAATGCATGCTAATTTGCATTGCTGCGATGATGTTTAAGGCCGCGCGGTTATGCTGGGCCTTGGCCTGATGCAGGTGATGTGGTCCGGAAGCGAACAACACGCATCGCCCCACCCGAGGTTCAACTAGTTCATCTTGATCCGGATCGTTGAACGCCAGCTGTCCTGCCAAGATGTGGCGACAGCTGTGGCGTGTCTGCGCCCAAGTACCACAGAACTACCACTGACGCTAACTCCCGCCTCCTTCAAAGTTCAACCCCTTTGTCGATAGGTAGAGAATCGCGCTGTAATCATAGTAACCTCCCGAGCATGCTCACAGCCTAGCAATTCTCTGCGCACTTGTTGCTTTTCAAAGCTTGCGGGATGAAGTGCAGGAGTGACAATTATGACAAAGTGACCGAACAATAGCTGTGCCGCTTAACTTCTCTTGACGCACTGCAATGGTAAATCCAGTCAGGATGCTCACATTTGCCTTGTCCACGTGGCAAACAGTTGGACCACGATCCTTGGATCCCATTTAGTGCCATCACAGATTGTCACAGCTTATGGGTTCCGAGTTTTGCTCCATTTGCGTCAGGCAGGATTCCTTGCAACTTTCACCCTCCATCCGTCGGGCCGTATTTGAAGCTCGGGTTCTGCAGAATGAGGGCAGCGCGCAGCGCCAAAGTTCTTTTTCATTTTAACTTTAGACAACTGTTGTAACCCTGCTTCTCGTTGCTGTCCGCAGCTTACAAACTATGTTTTGGCATGTTGCGTCCACGCGCCTCCTGTAGCAAAGACCCGCATGCCTGGTGTGCTGCAAAGCCAGAAAGAGTCACGCGTTCGGGTCAAGCATCGTAACTGCATTCACCTCCAGGCTTCGTGCGACGTAGCAGGGCACCCACCATGTGCAGACGCCGCTTCTCACCTGAGGACTCTGCTGGGCCCTTCATTGAGTTGGGCAACCTGAAATTTAGGTGGGATCCTCCTTTGAATCCCAAATTGCGACGATGCACCAGTTTGCGCATGCTTGTCCTGGACTCTTTGTGATGTCATTGCTGAAAATTATCGATGTGCAGGCAGTCAGAAGGTTGATCTCACACTAGGCACTATTTGAGCTATGTGGAAGAAATCAGTGAACACGTGAACTGCCAGCACGAGCCAAGGGTACAACATGATGACAGGATGCCGTATTATGCCAATCAAAGCACCACAGTTCTTGTATTCAATGTGTACCCAACTTGCGAATCAAGTTTCCGACCCCCATCTAGCTGCCACAGGTATCACTCTTCCAAGACAGTTTGTGATGGCAAGCAGGTACAAGGTTCGTTTCGCAAATGACACAGGTTGCCACTTGTCTGTTCCACACCGTCCTGCCTCTCTGTTTGCCTCAACATCACTCTGCAAAACATGCAGTATTAACCAAGTTATGTAGCAGCAACCGGAGGAAAGCGTGATGCTTCTATTGAGACGAGCAAAAGACCTTCGATCTACGTGGTATGACTAAATCATGCAAGCTGCTGAAATGCTTGCAAATCAGAGAGCGAACGCGATCAGGAATTTCATGCTTGAGCGGGTTGTCGGGCCAATCCTGGAAAGCCGTGGAACACTCGTAAGGAGTCTGGCCAAATGTCTCGTCAATGTGGAAGAGCGACTCGCCGTGAACATCTCTGGCACCACTAACGTAGAAGCTGGCCTCCTCCTCAGAGATAACGGAATCTACCACAACCCGTCTCTGTGGAAAGTTGGCTTGGCGAGGGTAGGTGCCACTGAACATCGGTCGCAAAAGTGACGACCTTCAGGGATGTGACCAAAGATGTCCCTTCGTAGGATCTTCTATTAACTGCTGCATCTGCCTGCAATCGTATGCCGTTGGTGCAGACCAAATCAGTGGCTCCCGGATCAAGCTTGTAGTGGCAATGATTTTCTGACGAGAGCACGGAGACCTGCACGCTTGCGAGATCATGTTGCCAGCGACCAGAACTGCCAAGACCCGCCTCTGCACAAAATTGTGCTGAATCAGCTCCTCCTGCTGGAAAGCAGCGCGTGCCTGGTCAGATTTGGCGTCTCTCGCTGGCTCGGCAAGGACATGGCATAGCATGGGAGCATCATCCAGGCCTGCTCATTTGCAAGACGGCGCAGCTTGCTGGCTTGAGCTGCCCGACATCCAGCTGACCAGGGCCTGATGCAAAGCAACTTCCCTTTCGGATTTGGATTCCATGGAGAGCTTGGGCATCAATCCAGCTGTCCTCCTCATGCGTCTGGCTGTCGAATCTGTAGGAGCCCGCTGTGCGAAACAACGCTTTTCACCACAGCGGCGTATGGCTTGCACTTGGGGGAATCTATGCGCATCTGCTGAGCAGCTTGTGCCAAATACAAACGTGACTGCATGCTTTTCCCAGGTTTTTAGGCATCAAGGTGCGAGTCACTGAAAAAACATCTCTTTGCTTCGTCGCTTTCCTTGGCGCCCAGGCCATACCACAGCCCGCTCTCTCTGCCACGCAGCCTGTGCATTCGAGGGGCATTCACCCGTACGCGGACTTGCCCATTGTTGGAGATGTTGGAGACACTGTGCATAATTCCAGGCTGTATTATCGTGCTGGACTCTTGGCATTTATGCTCTTCCGTTCCAAAAGCCCCCGTGAAGCTGTCTCTCAAACCCATTGACATTCAGAACCCAAGCAAATTCAAGCTGTCAAGCCTTGACCACTTTTGACTATGCCATTTCTTTGGAGACTGCTGCCTTACTACATGCTGGCAGAACTGGCCTGTGTAGATGTACTCCAGCATGTGCTGCACGGACTTGGTTCACCCGCAACGAAATAGCAGACTGGGCAGCAAAAAAAACCTTTCCCAAGCTTAGTATCCTTAACATTGTTATCGGTACATTTCCTCTGACAGGGGTTTACTCTAGAAAAGCCGTTATCGGTAATTTTCCTCCGGTCATCGGTAAACGCTTTTTATGAAAGGGACAAAACTTAAGCGGCCCACCAATTCTAAACGAAGAGGCGCGGGGTTCATCCCAGACCATGGCTGTGAATCAATCCGCCGCATCAACGGAACATACTGCGGCCACGAAACTTCTTCGTCTGTGTCAGAGATCAAGATCTCTCGCGCCTGGGCTGACTTGCTCAAATTCACGAGGCAAACCTTCGCGGTACTCCAAGCATTTTGCACAAAAACTGTTGCCGGCTTAGGCCATCTACTGTAAAAGCTGTCAAGTCCGTGGATCTTCCAAATGCTACATCGAGGCACAAGAAGTATCTGTGGCACTCAAGGCTCTCAACATACTCTTGTTTCCGTTTCTCAGTTGAAGGCTGCTGCAAAAGCCATTCTTGTGGGTGAACTCAGGGCTTGGCTCGGGATTCCTTCATCTCCGCCCCGAGCATCGCGGCAAAGACTGTGGATGCCGCAGCGAGCACAGCCTACAGCCGCGCTTTGCATGCTTGCACAAAGCTTTTGCTTTAAGTCGCTTAGGAATTTTAGGAATTACACTTCCGACCTCAAGCTTTACCTTGGCCACTTGGCAGACAGTAAGTTCTCGGCACGATGCACAGGGAAATGCTGCTCACCGCAAATGACCTGCAAAGTTGTGGGAGGGCAAGACTGCAGGTGGCTATAGACACAGGGATGCCAGCAGTCAGCTGTAGAGCAGGATATCACTGATGTTCCTTGCTCAGCTGACCTCCACGTCTGTGAATCTCCGGTCGCCCCAGATTTGCCTGGTGATCTTCTGCGGGTAGCCAACCTTCAGACATGCCATAGCCAGGGCATGCAAACCTGTGCCGCAATGAAGTGTACCAGGTTGCCAGGCCCCGGACATTATGTGCCGGTTCTGTCTTTTGCAGCTTGATGACAAACCTGCAGACGCTCTGCATCTTCTGATGCTGAATGAAGAGGCGGAATAATGCGGAGACACCTGCAACTAGCTACCACAATTTGCTATCAAGTTATATCGCGCATCTCCAGTCTTGCTTCTATCTTGCCTCCTCTCGAGCCATGTGCACAAAAGCTTCGAAACTTTGAGGCTTGCCATCAAGGTGGCACAGCACACTTGCAGCTGGCACCGTACCAAGAATCCACATTGATTGCATCTTACCATCAGACTGCTGACTCTATCTGGGGGGGTAGTTCCCTTCAGTGGGGGAGGGTTCCGACCCCCTCGGAGACCCAATCCAAAGATATTTTTTGTGCGGGTCAGACCTACTTTGGGGGTTCTGCACGGGTTCACTCCCTTCCAGACAGGAAGTGTGGAAATTACTTTTAACATGCGGGAACTGTCTTTGGACCCACCCTCCCGAAATAGGTCTCGGGAACCTATTCAAATATGCGGGATCCTAACAAACCTCCTGACAGATTCCTACAGATGGGGCGGGGACTGCTCACGCCAATCATGAGATTTATGTGCACGCTTCCTGAGCAGCCCAAACTTCCTGAGGCCTCACAGCTTGCACCACCAGATGATTCTCATCTCCATGATTTTGGAGGAACCTCTGTTGTCAGAAGACGCAGCAAGGAGCCCACGCTCAATTTCAGTTCTGCAAGTTCATCAAGGGCTACTCACCTACTGGATCTGGTCATGAGTCAGGGTGCGTAAGTCGCCAAAGGCTGCTTCGAATGGACATTGTCATCTTGTGTACCTTGCCCAAATGAGAGTTGCATGGGGTAAAGCAGCTGTGAGCATCGGTCGACACGCCTCACAATGCGGTTCTTGACTTAATGCAACATGGGTTGAGTTGCTTTACAAGGGTTTGTGCTCCATCTTCACCCTTTTAACCGTGGATGCTGCTTTGTATTCCACGGAGCAAACGCCAGGAGAATCAGACTAGAATGTTTTGGTTTTTCCCAATCGCATTGAGTCTTGTCCTGACTAAAAGGCCACAGTACCTGATCCCTTCAGAAATGGGAATTTGATCCTTTGCGGGCTCTATGGTCAGTATCAGTCAGTGACGTCTGCTCAGAAAGCATGCGGAAATGATGTGACGGAGGCCTGCCATACAGGTTTTCTCGCTGCTTCCCAAGTGGAAAGCTTCTGCCACTCCCCGTTCACCTGGGCGGGCTTTGCAAAGCATAGCTTTCAACCACCTGAACCTCATCCTAGCAGATATGTTAAACTTTCACCTCTTACTGCAGACCGCATGTGGAATGAAATTATCTCAAGAAGCAATGGCGATCTGAGAAACTTAGATTTCGTAGTCTTGCATTATGTCACCTGCCCTGCTTACCTTGAGTGGAGAGTTGCATGGACATGGAAAAGCATTCCCCTTGTTGGCAAGTGCCATCGGATGAGTGGACAGGCCTTTGTTGCTGGAGAAAGGTGCGATTGTGTGCTGGAGTTTGGCCTGTGGTGGAGGACAGCCACTTACCCAGTAGTGCCGATCACTGCCTGTGGAGCCATTCTCATGCACAGCGACGAGACATCACAAGAACCCTTGGAACAGCTGGTCATCACCATCAGTCATTTCATCCACTTGCTTTGGGAGGTGGGGAGAGGCAGTCCACTACAATGCTTGTCAATTAACTACCAGCTGCCGGTGTACTTGGGGCCAAGACAGCATGATATGGCGTCAGCGCATGAGCTGAGTTGAGCTGAGCCCCGAGCTTTGGCTTCCAGTGACAGACCTCTGCAAAAGACGTGAGGTTCCATAGACGGGAACGTCTCTTGGCCATGAACCTCTTATGATTACAAAGTGATGCACATCGTGATTCTGGAGCCACAGTTCACTGATGCTCTAGAGACTCTAGAGCATTCAAAATGCTTCGAACTGAAAGCAGTGGGGAGTATCTCGCGGTTGTTGTCGCTCCAGGGAGTTCTCAAAGTATTGTGTAGGCCTGGTGTTGAGAACCTCATGTGTGGGCTACAGTAATTGAAATCATAGCAACACGCAAATCCTGCTACTAATTGGCGGGAGGGCCTGTATGGGACTCATGAAGTCGACAATTGCGGCTGTAGATTAACAGACAACTTGATATAACTGGATAGCTGTAAGCATCTTCTCTGCACCCGCAAAGTTAGAGTATGCAAGCCAGCCACTAAGTCCCGAGATCCCCTAAATCCTAAACCCCTACAGTCAATCCTTCGCCAGGCACTTCACCTCCCACTCTACCCTCAGCTCAAATGTGGATTTCTCCAAATCGGGGGGCCATCCAGGCTTAATCAAGGCCTTACGGGTAGGTGGGGAGTACAAAAGCCTTCTACAATCACATATAAAACCTGACCCAATAAAGTCCTACATTCAAAAAGGCACTGCGCCACTGAACTGCATGCAGTCTGAACAGGATCTGCATCCGAGCGTCGCTGGACACCCATTCCGTCACCCCTGTCCTGCTACTTGTGCAAATAGGGTTTCCTCTACCAGCAGTTCCGCCGTCCTTCCATTCGACAGCTGCGAGAACGTGGCCCTGCTCGAACTCAAAGGCAAATGCCTGGTACGCAGAACATGAGAAGCTAACCAAAGATGCGTACTGTGTTGTTCAAAGAAGTTGAATCAAAAGGCGCTGGAGAAAGGGGTCTCCATTGTCGTTTAGGGAAGTTCATGAAAGTTGCTGAAGCTAGTCATGCAAATCAGCTAGTGCTTTTGACTGTAGCTCTTGTTTCTATGGCGCGCCTGGTCACGGACCTGTCCTGGGAGTGATGCCCAGTACTCCACTGACCTCAGAAACAAGCGACTGGTGCGTGAAGGCAGCGCTCCCTCCACCTTTCCGTGGCAGTGTAATCAAGGCAGTCGGACATGTTTTGCTTGAGGAACTGGCACTTGTCTTCTGCAAACATTGAGGCCACAGCAAAGGGTTGATGAGATGGCTGGCTTCATGATTCATGTAGTGTCCTGCAGGTTTTGGTGGCAATTCAGGCGGTAAACGCACGCGTTCTTGGCTACCCGCTGCTTCTGACAGTATCTAGTAAAGAGGATCTTGGGCGCCTGGGTGGGAGGCAATCTTCACGTTTGCGGCCACATAGTGGTCATCGCCGTAGTCGGTCTGAGTTGAGTGAGTTGAGCTTTGTAACACCCAAATTTGTGTAGCGTGTACTTGATCGCTGAGTGAAGGACCGGGATGAGCCCTGTAGAGGTATCTCGGGTATCTCGATGTCCTTGCTTAGCAGACTTCACATGGCCTGAACTGGGATGTCGGAGTGCAAGGAGGCTTAGACTAGAGGTGAGGGGCCTGGCGAAAGGCTCCGCCAGTCGCCAGGTGACGGCTCTGAGCGCGTCGGTCGAGGCTCTGAGCGCCGCCTGGACCTGACGAAGACTAGAGTCCGACAAGATCTGCACTCCAATGCCCATGAATTTTGCCCCATCTCGGGATCAGGAAGGTGCTAGACAAGGACATGCAGCGTACGTAATGAGTTCAACCTTCTCAACAAGCCACCAAACAAACTCACACCGTTTCCGTCTGCTGTTCCTGTATCCTTCATTATGCTGTTTGTCCGCAGTCCTCTCTCGACTTGAGGGAAAACACAGAAAACAAATGATACATTGTAAAATCAACAATGCTCAAGCTGTCAGGCAGTAGGTTTATCGAGGTACTTTGCATCCAGTAATCATACAAGGGGGCATGGCGAATAAACATGAATAATGCGCTGGGACTTACTCACCAAGCTGTCGTGATGATTGGAATTGTTCTTGATCCCTGGGAGCTAAGTGAACGAGATTTGAAGGCCAAATCATCCTCTGACTGACATCGTGCATCTCCTCTGCTTCAGTTGTGAACATCTCGACTGCTGGCGTCTTTTCATAGAAAATGCCATTCATGTGCAGATGCGGCTTGCTCAGCTAAATCAAGACACATGCTTGCTAGCTTTCAAGTCGAGGGCCGTACTCTGGACCCCAAGTCGATCGCCAGTCGTAAGTGTACTCGGAGTCCGTATTCCCTTGCATGGCACGTCGCAGTGCCGTCTCTAACTGTTTGCGCTGTGTTTGTTGCTGGCCTGGCAGACAAGTATTCTAGGTACACATGTGCCTGTATCTCATCGCATGCCTCACAGAAACCAGTTGTGCCATGATGCTACTCAGTGGGCGTCATCATGTACTGTCACTGTCATCCCTATTGCCCTTGAGGTTGAAGGTAGGATGCCCAGGCTGGCGATTGTCTTCATGTGCGACCCGCTGGATGCATTGCCGTTGGAAGATGCGAGAAGTTGTTTCTTTCCGACCATCCTCCACTTACCCTGGCATTCTTTTCCCAGCTGGCAGTCTGCTCGCGGCAAATGGAACATGCAATGGGGGCCATTTGGGCCATGCCTGACCGGCAGTAAACTGGTAAAGCAAAAAGCAGCGGATTCAGCTTAAGCTGCCAAACGCTGCACTTTGCCGTGGCTCTTATAAGAAGTGATTGTGGTCAGCAGATTTGGGACGCAGAGCATTGGAAATATTATCCTTGCTGACCACAACATCTTCGAAGGCGTGGTATCGACTTGATCGTTCACGCATTTCTCTTCAGCGAGGCAGGGCCGAAGCGGCAGCCCAAACAAATGAGGGAAGCAAGCTCTAGGCTATCCCTTTCTGAACAATGCAGGCCTTGAATGGCGCAGCGCTGGTTATATCCAGCATAATAAGCTGGGCTCCGGGATGGAAATTCATCCGCAGAAGACGGGGCTTCTATGTGCTGGAATCAAGTAAGATATTGCACTGAATCGTGACAATGAGTTGATGCCCGATCGTCCCCGGCTCTCAGCAGGCCCACTGACGTGTGTCACAGCTTGGCAGGCGAAACTGTGAAACGGTCTGCGGAGTCACACATCAAGGCAGCAGTTTGCTTCAGCACACCGGCAAGAACAACAGTGCACTTCAATGCTGATTCATTACAGAATGCTGTGCTGGTCAGCATCAACCATCAGAGTTATTAGATCACATGAAGATCCTTTCCGAGCTGATTCAGGAATCGCGCATTGAGCTGGCACAGCAACAACCCAATCGAATTAGGCGAGCGAGAGCAAAGCGCGCATACCATCCAGAACCTGGACTGGCACTGCTGAAGCGTTGGCTTGCCTAGTTCATTCAGCTGGCAAGGTGCCTCTCAGCAACAGAAACAGCAACGTTCGCGACAGCCGTCCTCTCGAGTCAGGAATTTGAGTTTGTTGCAATCATAGTCATTGCTGACTCTGAGTTCATCAGCAAATCGCAACCACCGCTCATGCAAGTTCTCCTGCGGCTGGCGTCGGGCAAGCTGAATCTTGCATTCCTAAGTTGCACGAGCCCTCCTTGTACAGCTTGCTAGTAGATTCTGGCGCTGCCGGCGCCGCTACACGACGATCAAGAATCGCCGCCCAGGCACGCGCTTAATGCCGTAGTAATCCAGGGTCTGCGCATCTTCCAGCACTTGCTTCCTGAAAGTCAATTGCTGCTCCGCAGGGGCCATACCTGAACTGAAGCTTTGCGCAAAGTAATGCATGTGCGGATGTGTCAGTGAGCTAAATAGGAAGCACAGCGGAGCGTACAGGTTGAGTGAATTCATGATCGGACACAAGCCTGTTCTGTCACGGATGGCTGTCTTGACATCGGCAATCGTCTTGTCAGCGCAAGCACCATCCACTCGAAATGAGGTCCCTGGGACAGGTTTGCACACTCCTCTACAGTTTTGCTATGGTTTGCTAGAGAATGCTTGAGATGTCGGACACCAGGAGATGGGGCATGGTGACAGTGGCCATTTTGCATGCTGGCTTGGTTCACAGACCTCTTGGCCTATTGATGCCCCTTTCAACTTTCAGCTTGGCTCTAGTCACCTGTTGGCTCACATTTCTGAGCACGGCTTTATACACACCTTTCACTTGCTCCCGAATGGGTCCAATACAACCTTGGCATTCCTCAAACTGGACAGCCCTCGTCATCACCCGGAATCCAAGCTCCGGGTCTGCAAATCCTCTGTTTTCCGAGCTAGTACTTTCGATTGGTGTCCGCCTGAGTAACTTCCGTCCTTTCACCGACTGATACTGATGTGGACAGATTCCGCCTCCATCAGTTTCCACAATGAACTGGCCGCAGCCCTTGAGGCGTAAGATCAACGCGACCTGCCGCACCCCATCGCCCCCACCACTTGATTCCAGACGGCCAATTGAAGCATTGAAGCATGCCAGCTGCAAGAGGCTGCAAGAATGCCCACCTGGTCCCCCGTCTCGACGCCCATCTCTTGCAAGGGTCGGCCATCTTCCAGTGGCTTGCCTGCAGCAACAGCTGGAAGTAGCCTTAAGTATGCCAGGGTTCGTCGGCTGGTGCGCGGGTTCCTGTCAATATGGTCGCCAAGTGCAGTACATTGTACATGGTTGAATGTGGCCATTCGCTAAGGGCATCAGCGCTTCCTACCCTGGCTGCTGCAGGTTGAGCATTTTCCTTGTCAGAAGGCCTTCGGCTCAAAGTAAGGTTTGCAAAAAATGGCACAGTAGTCGTTTGCTGCAGGGTGTCACCCCAGAATGCCAGGTGTGCATGTCTAGCGACCTAGCAGGCTCCACAGTTGACAATGTGTTTAAGTATTGGTCAGCAGCGGGTAGCAGCTAAGCATTCACATGATCCCCGGCCAGCCGGCCTTTGCAAACGAATAGCATCTGCTCGAAGGGGATCGACATCTTCTCATTGACGAAGGATTTAATCTCCGCCACGGTATCCTGCTGAAAGAGCTGGCATGTGCAGAGGAACCGCTGCATCTGTACTCGACGAGCATATCAGGCGGCAGAATGTCACCGCAAATGCTGCATGAATGTTCTCGACACCAGATTTTATGGGATGCCAGCCGAGCTAGATGAACCGCCGTTTAGGTATCTCAATTGACATTTTTCAAGTTCGCTTTGGTTCGGTTTGTTTCCTCCTTCCGAAACCTGGTGGAACAAGCATTGCGTTCGATACATTGTATGTCCTCCATTTCTAGGTACAGTACGGTGTGCTGGATAAGATGAGAACTTTGCTTGTCACACATGGCTCTTGTTGCTCCTCCTGATGGATTGGCGTTCTTCCTACTGAAGTTACTATTGCTTCCGTCTTCAACACTGAGGCCAAAGCTGGATGAATAGAAAAAACGCTGAGAGGCCCATGGGGCCGTTGCAAATCTCTGAGACTAACTCTTTATTTAAGAAAAAGTTGATTACCCCTTGAGGCCACCTAGCTTGTCCAAGGCACCTGTGGCTGGACTCGCACGATCCACTTTGCTCGAGCCGTCATGATCTTCAACTCCATAGGCTGCACCCGCACCAGACTGACACAAGAATCCTTGGGGCAAGGCAGATCGCACTGTTGAAATATTATGTACGCAGCAGGCTTCAATGCAGCTGTGCATCATGTCGGATCCCGCATTCATGGAGCCGGCGTGAATTCTGCAGAGTCCTAGGACACACAAAGACCACTGCTGCTGTTGCAATCTGCAGTGCATCACAGCGTGACAGCTTAGCCTGAAGCTGAGTGCGGGACTCGTCTTGGAAGATCAACGACTGCTCTTGAACCGGTATGCGCTCCTTGGCCTCGATGTCGCTCTTCAAGTCTGCAACGGTTTGCAAAGTTCTCGCCTGCGGTTTCGCATGCAAAGGCCACCAGCATATACCAGCACGTTCTCTTCGGGACGAGATCCTACAGTGCTTTTCTACTTGGAGTCTTGAGACCACAAGTAACCCCTACCACCCCTCCCCCTTCCGCCCTCGAGGTGAAGATGGCAAAGCTGAGGATGTTACTTGAGCATGAATTTCTAGCAAATGGCAGGTCCCTTATGGCCGCGTCCAGGTTTAGGGTGAAAGGTCAGCCTTGAGCCATGGCCAAAAAAATCGAGTGTCCGATCAAGAGTTCCGTTCGAAGATAGATTTCAAAATCAAGAAAAACACAACAGTTCCGGGCCAGCTTAGAACCTTCCTGCAAAAAGGCTTACACTTCAAAAACTGGGTTCTACTCAGGACGAAAAAGTTGAGGGCCAACTGGAAACCTGTTTTTCCGAAAAATAAATTCCACTTCCAACCTAAGTCCACCTCAAAAGTAACTTCGAACCAAAACGCAAAATTTCAGGACTAGCTTCCATTTCGTAAAAAAAAGTTCAACTTTCAAAAAACAGTTCTTCTCAACGCGTTCAGGAGGGCCAGCCATGAGTTTTAAAAACGCATCCAATATCAAGTTCCTCTTGTAGAAAAAAGTTCTACCCAAAATGAAAAAGTTCAGGGCCAGCTTTGGAGTCGCACTTTCCAAAAAATGCCGCCAAACCCAAATTTCTAGCCCAGCCACGTCCAGCCTAGCCTCGGAAAAAATCATTTACAACATGCGTTTCTCAATTTAGTTTTCCTGGCCGGGAAAACCAGGAAACCATACATAGCCCGGATTGCTAAAAAAAATGTCCCAGCCAGCAAGGTCAAAGCTGACCTTTTGCGTTTTGAATGCAACTCTTCTTTGTCATGCGTGTTTTTGAGAAAGACATTGAAACATTATGCTGGCTGGGCTTTCGCTGGTTGAGGCGGTCCAGGACATGTTGACTTAACGATCGCACTCTCACAAGGTAAGGTGCAGCTGAGCACAGCTAAGCAGTGCAGCGCAGCCTTTTCACACCATTCGCCCTTGTGCACCCTTCACGCCTGATGCGTTGGACTAGCGGCCTGAACAGGACTGTGATCCCTTCGCTTCGGTAGCCAAGACGTGTCATTGTGGGATGTACAAGGCGGCGTAGCCGTCGGTGCCTACCCTCTTCCCTCTGACACATTGTTGGGAGGGAGGGCGGGAGAATCAAAAAGGGCCCTACCCAGCCAACCATCATGTTGCACAGCTTTTTTGTGGCTTAGACCTGCCCACAGCCCCTACCTGTGTTTTTATGCCCTTGATGCAGTTGGATTTTTGAGCACTGATTTTGCAAGAATCTTGAAGCTCTTGACGTCTTGGGTTTGTTTGGGGGGCAGCTAGCTTCTCTGGCTTTGGCAACTTTGGCTCACAAGGCTCAAGCTTTGGAATTGTTCAAAGGGATCGCAGTTCGGCACAAAGCAGTCTCATAAAATGAAGGGCAAGGCAGTCGGGAAATTTGGGAATCTGGCAGTCTACTTCATATGTGATTGCGCCATCATGCTGAGATGTTACAGAGCAGTGGGATCACCAGCACGAACTTGTGAGCCAGTATCTTTCTCAAGCATGACCCACCGACCAGCCCAACCAAATTTCGACCACAAAACATCTACCAGTACCATGTGAAATTCGCAAGTTTGCAATTTTTCTGCGGAGAACAAAAACAAATGGCAGCACAACAACCAAGCCTGGAGCTAATTGCAAAATGTGAAAGTACCATTCCAGGACAAGCAAAGTTTGGAAAACTTGTAACTGCCAGAACTGACCCAACCCATATTGTTAGCATGAATTGATGCAGTGTTTTTTTGGGGGAACACTGGGAGTATGAATTTCAACACTGTCAACACGAAGCACCGCCCTGCCACGCTGAAAGGCTGACATGAAATCTATCCACAAAAAGCTGTTAATACCAGAGCCAGGTGAGCCAGGAAAGCCTTGGTCATGCTCTTTAGGCCGCTTGGGCTTTTTCAGTTAGGCTCAAGGCACCTGTACGACCAAGGCCCGGCCAGACACCATGAGCACAGCAAGGCGGATCCTCAGAGTCCAAGGCATTCGACTTTCAGCACTCACAAACTGACACTGGTTGGCTCTACCCGCAGGTTCCTTCAAGGCTGGAAGCAGCTGAGGAATCTTGTCAAATGACCATGTGATGCTATGTGTTGCTCAGGATCGACTCGTCTTCAATCTCGGACTGGACGATTTTGCTCAGCGTCATTGGAACCTCGCTTTCGAAACAGCACTCAACAAACGAGGTGTTGAAGTGCCTTCAAAATTTTGCTTTATTTATGCTTTGCTTCGCTTCTTGCTTGGCTCTGCATATCTCTGCATTCAGGAAGCCTCCGGCATGGCAGTAGCTGCTCGAACCACCATTTCCGCTGTGCCTGCAGAACGCATTAACACACTTGAGTTTGAGTCACTCGGACATGAAATGTGGCGCGCACTCCGATCAACTGATGTTCACGACTTACACGGACTGATGTTCAATGTCAGTCTTTGTGGATACCAGCTGCAACACCATTGCCCAGATACTCCACATGCAGGTACGTTTTCCTGGACTTTCAAATGGAGCTTCGTTGGCGACGGCCATTCTTGAAAGTCCCCGTCGCCCCCTGCAAATATGACTGAGCCTGCTCTCAACGACGTCCCCAACGCTCAAAACGTCATGACCATGTGGATTTCTTCTTTGCGCACAAAATTGTCAAAAGCATTCATGAAAAATGTGTGGCACGACCAGCTCAAACTTGAAACCCAACATGCACAAGTCTGCAGCTGATGTTGTAACCCTTGGAGACAGGGCTTATCACACGCAGAAGCTACATGCGCATGCAAACTTTGTCACTGCCACCACTTCCCAAATCG